CTCAAAGAACTTCTTTGATAATGTATTTGAGTATTTTTACAAAATTAAATCCAACGGATTATTTCCGAAAATGTATTAATTAGATTGTAACCGATGATTCTAACCTTCACAAGTTGACTTGGTGATTATTCCATTAATAGTATAATATTATCTTTTGGAAAAAAAAAATTGTTAGAAAAAAGGCATACATATTTAATATTTAAATTATATTTACACAAAAATGAAGTTTGGAAACATGATATAAAATTTCCAAGAAAGTTTAAAATATGAATATTCTAGTAGACTTCACCACAATTAGATTTTTTTAATATAGATAATTTAGTTTTAAATACTCTTTACCAACCATTGGCCCCATGTTATATATTGAATTTCTCAAATTTTTTTAGAAAATGCTTTTAACATAATATATAAATGTATTTAATTTGATCTCAATTAATATATTTATTTTTTTTAAACAATGAAATGTAATGTTCATTGTTCAACAATACATTTTTATTATATTAAAAATATATGTCCTAACGGTACTTCTTTATTAAATTAAAAATATAGATTTAACAATACTTATCCACTTTATAAAATTTATGGATAAATTTATACTTAATTTCTAATTTATTTTTATCATTAATTATAGTCATTTTTCTATTACACCTTTTAAGACAATATATTTATTATATTCAAAGGGTGATATAGTAAAATTACCCTTCTATTTATAATTTCTTCAAGAGTGTGCCAAGCCAACATTGGACAACTATTGTTGAACGTAAAAAGTATCTTTTTTTAATTTTAAGTGATACAAATAGATATTCAAATTTATATAAAACTGAATAATCATATATGCATATTTTATATAATACAATACAAATTAAATTAAAAGTATTATTTACACAAATTATCACATTGAACACATACATTTATCAAATTAAAAAAAATATATTTATATGTTATGACAATTGACAAAAAATTAAATATGATATTGTCTTCGTTCAATATTAGATTTGGATGAACTTTTTAAAGAAAAGTGCGATAAAAAAATCCTCCAAATAATATCACTGTCTCCCTAAGTTGATGTTAATCATTACATGAACAAAATATATGGAATATAAAAAAGATAAAAAAAAAAATATGTCACACATAAGTATTTTTGTGTCTCGTTTATAGGAGAAAATATGTAGGTGCAAGTGCAATTAGCAATATTTTTGGGGATCCAAAAAAATGGATCCCAACTTCTCAAAATTTGTTGAGGGGACCCCCCATTATTTCTTGGGATACATGCACTAATATTGTAGTCGTGTTAATTATGTGATATAATTTGAGTTAATAAAATTCACACGACTAAAAATAAAAATTTTTAATTATCTAAAGTCACTCAAAATTATTGATATATATTATTTATAAACATCTCAATTAGAATATATTTTTGTTAAACACTTTATTTATTCAAAAGTTATTTTTATTAAACACAAAATGCTAACATGATCTAAAAACGTGTTTCACCCCCTTCTTTAGTGAGTTAAAAAGGTTTGAAATTATATTTTTTTCTTTTCTTTTAATTTTTCAATTTGTACAACTGTTTTTTTTAAAGAAAAAATTAACAAAAAAGGAAGCTTTTTTTGTGTGGTTATAAGGACTTTTGTTAAGAGTAGATAAGAGATTTAAGATTAATTATTATCAAATTTAGAAATATTTTTTTTTAAGAAAAAAAGTATATCTTTTAAACTGAAATGGAGAAATTCTTAGTTCCGATTTCCGCAGTATAAATTTAAGATTAAAAAAAATAACAAAGCTTAAGTTTAAACTTTGAGACATTTTAGACCTAAAATTTTGAAAGACATCCCCATTTTTTTAATTTCACTTTAAATTTTTTTTTAACAAACGCTTATTGAAGTATTCATATAAAAATAAAATTTAGAGGAAAGAAATATACGTGTATCAGTTAATTTTAAATAAAATATTTGTGTGTATGTATTTTATTTTTACCATTTTGGTCAAATTATGGTTAAGTCTTCCTGTCAAAAGAATTTTTCATATTATATTATATATATTGACATAATTTATAATTAACACTGCATTCATCGAAAACATTGAAGTGTCACCATATTAGTGATACAAGTTAGAGGATTTACCACGAAAACTAGGTTTGAATCAAACCACAGTATTCATATCATTGTTTTACTTTTAAAGTTTTAAAGTATATCTTAGAGCTCATATTGAATAAATTTTGAGTTCACTCCATTCGCGAAAAGTTTGTTTTATTTTTTAACAAGAATAAATATTTTTTTCGTCCCTTTTTTATTTATCCACTTTTAAATTAATATGCATATTAAAAAAATAATTAATGTCATAGTACGTTTATCATCTTACCCCTATTATTGTAAAATCGATGAAAATTTTTATATTTTTCAAAATAATTAGTTATTTAATTGAAGATATAATAGGTTAAAAATTTATCCTTTCTTGATCAATCAAAATGAATAAATAATTAGAGATCGAAAAAATATAGTCAAAGCATTCTGAAATTATTATTTTATAGGCAATCAATATCACTGATACCTTTATCATCGAAAACTTACTTTTTAATCATAAATTTATTTTTGCAATAATGGAATTATGTAATTCTGCACTTTGAATGATGAAGAAATATATTATAATCCTAATTGATTAAGTTTGGTAAGGATTTGGTCATCATGAAATTAGAATTAAATGTTGATGCTTGACACTTGTAAATTTAATTTAAACAATCACCACTCTTTTGTTAAATTATAAATCACCCATATATAAATTTTAATAATCTAGTAATTGATTTACCTACTTTCAATCAAAAGTCAACACGGTTGAATCATTAAAAATAATTTGGTCATTTTGAACTTGGATTATCTCACCAAAATGCTTGAGATCACAAATTAGTAATTGATCAGGTTAAATAATACTTTTTTCACTTCAAAATAAGTAAATTTTTAATATAATTGACACTCGTTAAAAAAAAAAAAACTATTTAGGACATAAATTAATCATTACTTTTTGCTTTTGCCATTTTTGTTATCCTCCAACTTCAAACTATTTTTGAAAATAAAAATAGCAAAAATAAAAATTTTAAAATTTCAATAAATTTCTTAAATTTTGAACAATTCACTTATTTTAAACTATAAAAAAACTGTCATGATTAACTTATTCGAAACCGATGAATAGTTAATTTGTTGTTTCTGAAGATATCTTTTGGATAATATTTTCTTTACCAACTTGGATCACCAAATAAAAAATATGATACCGAATTTTTAATCAGAATTTTGGATTTAAATTTAGACTATACAATTTTTTTTTAATATAAAACATTTTCCCTTAGAATGAAATTCTATATTTAAATTTTAAATACCAAATGGAAAAAGAAGAAGATAGATGCTATTGAAAATGTTGTATTTTAAGTTGAATTATTATTATTTTTTAAATGAAACTATTACGTGTTATACATAATTTAATTTCTTTTTATCCGTTATGAATTTTGATATCGATATTTATGTTGGAATTAATTAAGACTAATTTGGATATATACCAAATAAAGTTTTATGTTGAATTAACTTTTTCCTTTTTATGTTGATATTTTTTTTAATCATTTTGAACAATTGAAGCACTTGCATTGAAGTTTGCGCTGGAATCTCGTGATTATACTATATGATAAAATATGGAAGGATTATAAATTAAGATAAGGTCAAATTAAGATAATTACTTCTCATTTAAAGATAAAAGATAAATTAATACTACAAATGGAAAATAATTAAATTATTAGGCCGTACAAATTAGGTAAATAGTCAAAAAAGAAGAAGAGAAGGTTAGTGGCCAAAAGGTAAATTAAAAGGAATCGAAAGGGCAAAATTAAAGAAGGATGTGGGGTAAGCCGTCATCGGTGCGTGGAGGGAAAGCAACCGAAAGTAAAGGAAAAAAGTGGCAGACAAAACAAAACTAACCAAACAAAAACAAAACAAAAAATAATTTTTTAAAAGGGAAAAGAATAAAAAATGTCTTAAATTATGCGAAAAACAAAAATATATAATTTTATTCAAAAATATCCTTCTCATCATTATTTCGATAAAAAAAAATATTCTTATTAATGTTTTGGATAAAAATGCTCGTTTATTCAAATAAATATATTATTTATTTTCTTTTTAACACATTTTTTGAATAATATTTTTTAAAATTAGCACATCATCTCCGATCAAAAAAATAAAAAACAAAAATATTTCTTATTTTATTATAATTATTTGCTATTGTCATATAAATATAAATTAATAATAAATACACTATAATCTTATGTATATGATATATATTATCTTACGAGATGATAGATAAAGCTATTTTTATTTTAATTGATTGATGAAAATTAAGAATGAAAAAATTATTTGCTACATTTTGTTAAAGTGATTTTAAAAAAAGAAAATAAGATTATTGTTCTTTAATTAAGAAGAAAATAATGGTTAAAAAGTAAAAAATATATTTATGTGAAAAAGGATATTTTTATCCACTATAAAAGTATTTCTGAATCAAAATATTAATTATAAGTTATTTTTAAATTAAAATATTGATAATAAAAATCTTTTTTCAATAAATTATAAACAAATTTTTTTTTATTCTTTTAACATGTAAGGATATTTTTGATCCTTTTTCTTTATCGAAAAAAATAGATAATAAAGAGAGAGAAATAGAGGAATTTGTCATCACATACTTAAAAACTAACTTAAAACATCCTTTTTACGCTTTACTTTTATGTCAGGTTGTACTATATTTACAATCGTCGATAAAATAAAATGATATTATCGATATCATATTATATGTCTAAATTAAAAATATCACTTAATTTGAAATTGTAGGTTCGGAAGCTGAAATTGATGTGCTAGTTTAGTGGTCCATTAATTTTGATACATCATATTCCAAATATACCCCTAGTGTATGAGTATTATTACTTTTGAATCCTTTTGGGTTGTCATAAGTTCAAGTCCACGTGTCCAGGGATAAGAACTCTTACATTTTTTTTTCTCTTTCTTCATTCTGTACAGTAAAAGAAGCTGTGAAAAAGAAAGAAGAAACAGAGTCATCAAAATTTGGGGAAAATTCTTACAAGAGAATCGAATAGATTTTGATTTGAGGAAAAAAAGGGGTGGTGTTGAAGTGGATTTGTGATGGTAAGGAGTGTTTGGTTGTGAGTAAAATTCGTTTTTTCTTTTTTGGGTTTTGGGTGGTTGGAGTAAAGAGCGAAAGAGAAGGAAAATTGCAGGTATGAATAGAGGAGGAATTGGAATTGGAGGGCCAATGCGAAAGTCTTTTAAGGACTCTCTTAAAGTTCTTGAAGCTGATATTCAGCATGCTAATACTCTGTGAGTCAAACTTCTTTTTCATCATCATCAACATCCTTGAAAAAAAAAACAGAACTTTTTTGTTGCTCTTGTTTATCAGTTATGCTTGGGGATAAATCTTTATTGTTGTTTTCTGGAGTTTTACTGTATTTCTGTAAGACCCTTTTTGTTTTTTCTTTTCCCTTTTCCATGATTTTATGGCTTCAGAGTCTTAACCATTTCAAATTTCAAGTATGCTCTTGTTTCTGATAATTTGGTTCAGAGGTGATTTTTTTCTCTTTGATTGCTGGTCTATTTTGTTCTGAATGATTTTTATGATATGGGGTTTTATTTCTTGCCAAAAAGTTTGAAACTTTTTCTCTGATTTTTCTGTGTCTTGATTTTCATCTCTTAACATTCTATAAGTTCTTTTTTTCTACTGTTCTTTTTTTTTTCTGGTTAGATTTGCTAAGATTTGGTGGCAGTGGTGACAGTTTTCGCCTTCCTCTTTTTGTTTTTTCTGTGTTTAGAATTGTAGTGCTTTTGAATAAGGTTGTTATCAGTGTTTGTTTTGAGTTCACTTCTTTGATTGCTTCAAAAGGAGATAAAGTTATCATTTTCAAGGGTAATCTGATGCTTAGCTTGTAAAAAGCGTCTAAACTCTAATATTATGATTAATAAATAACCCTTTTTTTATGATTCCAAGGCATACCTTCATCCTGACTATATCCATTTTAGGAACTTACTGTAGGGTTAGTCTGCTAGTTTTCCGCACCTTTTTTGTGGGTGGGTTGTGTGGGAGTGGGGTAGAGGTTCTTATTTTTGTAATGGTGTCCCTTCCTTGAATTTCAATTTGTTGCAATGTGGTTACATAGCTGAACAATATTAAGAGGAAGTTAATTGTTGCATTGTCCATTCTGTATTCCTTGTTTCTACCGTTCTATTTTTCTTTTCCCACTTCCCTCCTTTATTAGTGGCTTTTGCAATTCGGTTAGGATGGTTTGATGAACTTTTCTTTGTTCTATATGGTGAACATGTTTGTCTGGACCTGGTAATTCAGTGGTTAGTTCTTCCTTGATAGTTCTGTCATTTGGAATGTGATTGTTGGAATTTGGGGTGCAGGGCATCTGACTTTCCCCGAGAGTACGATGGGGCCTGCCTACAGATGAGAATGTCCTACAGTCCAGCAGCGCACCTGTTCCTTTTCTTAGTCCAGTGGACTGATTGCCACCTTGCTGGTGCACTTGGATTGTTGAGAATTCTTATTTACAAGGTATGGATGTTCATGTTCATGCATTGCTAATTCCCTCTGTCTCAAGCTTTTTTTCATGTTGCAATAATGCGGCGTTGAACTGGATTTTTCTTTGGGCTCTAGGTTTATGTTGATGGCACCACAACCATGTCAGTTCATGAAAGGAAAGCAAGCATTAGGGAGTTCTATGGTGATTTTCTACTTTTTCCTTCATTTTTTCATTCATGTGAACTGTTAAGAGTAATCAGCTATACTGAATAATGGTTGCTATTCATCATTAATATTGTGCAGCTGTTATTTATCCCTCCTTACTTCAACTTGAAAGAGGTGTTACGGATTCAGAAGACAAAAAGCAAAAAGCAGTTTGCCAGGAGAGATACAGGAGAAGAGATGATGAGGATTACAGACAATCTTCTGACTCTGACATTGAAAGGGAAGAGGAATGTGGAATCTGCATGGAAATGAACAGCAAAATTGTCCTTCCCAAATGCAATCACGCCCTGTGTTTGAAATGCTATCGTGAATGGTATGTTTAATTTTGCAGTTTGTCTGAGATAGAAGATGTGTGTTAAGTTTAACTACTATATTCAGATCTCTATCATCCCACGCCAACTCTACATTTCCTTTGCACTCTTTCTAACCCCCTTCATACACTTGAATGTTCACAGAACAGCTGTCGAGTGCTTCCTGGTGTGAGGTTCTGTGGGTGGTCCCTCTATTAGGTAGTCTAGCTCTATTTATCAGGCCAGCTATTTAAAGACGTCTAGGGCAGGAACAAGTTAATAGCTAGGTCTGGGTTGCTAAAGGGTAGGTCAGTATTTACTTTCTTGTGTGCATGTTAGCCACATAACTTAATGATACAAAAGTCTTTTTAGTAAGCTGGACCGTTTGTACCTTAGTTTTTGAAATTCATTATAGAGATGACTTACTTAGGAAAATGGCTGCATCTGTATCTCCCCTTCCTTTTGTAGTTGGCAATTTAATAAACTGCGATAAATGCTTCAGATAGTGTCAAGTTTCCCTGTGTCACAGTATAGTTAAGCAGAACATGGTAAAAGGGAGCTACTTCAAGTGATATAGCTATATAGCTTAGGCTTGTCTGCTTACATTCTTCTTTATTTTTTTCGTGTCTTTTATGATGCAGTGGGCATGTGCAGGAGAAGTGCACTGTCCTAAATTGTTACTATTATTTCATTTTATTGAGTGAGTATTATCAGTGTTAAGCTCTATATAAACTAGCAGTCATCATCTGAACCCTCTGTATTTAGGAAACATGTTACAGCCAGAGCCCAGAGTGTTATTTTCCTGCTAATCAGTAACTCTGAATTGTCTGAGAAGCTGGAGTGCATCTCTGCTCTTTTTATCGCCATAGTACCGGGTTTCAGTGTCATCATTTGAACATACTGATCCGGGATGTTTTAGGAGAATTTCCCCCTGTACATGGGTGCATGGGGAACATCACTAATAAATAGTCAGATGAAAAATTGGTGAATTAATTGCGAAAAGGCAGACCTCCACCTCCTAACTAGCCTGCCAAGTTTTTTTGCGTGATTTTGTACAATATAGAGATCCTGCAGGTACATAGATTTGCCGCTATTCTGCAGATTGTAGGGGCTATTCACACAAACATTGCAGCTAGGACTAATTTCTTAGTCCATGTTAATATGCTTCGTCCATTTAACCGCATTTGGAGTTGACAATAATATTAGGTAAAGATATCTCTACAGTCCTAGGTTGCCCCATGGTCCTCTAAAGCACTAGAGGAGGCATAAAGTTGCTGCTGGATATAAGTTGCCTCTCCATTTGGGGTGAAGTAAATTTGGTCCTGCTATATCTTATTCAGCTAATGAAATGAAATGGGGTAGTACTATATTCTGGCGCCAAATTGATGGAATCGCGTCTTACAACCTTTAGCAGCCCTTGTGCACATAGCATCTTTCGTTAGCAGGGTACGGGGAATGCCACACTTCCAAGGGGTGTTATGTTGACAACCTATTAATGGACACATTAGTGGCTGCTTCCACGCCTCAAAGTGTGACCTATAGATCACATGGAGAGAACTTTACCGTTGTGTCTTACAACCTAATGGAAAATTATTAAGAGGGACGGAAGGGAAAAAGCACTGTGGTGCATTTTTGCATTCTGAGTATGTTCAATTGATTATAAGCTGTAGCAATCTCCTAAACAGGAAGTATTCGTTATTATCAAGTTCCTGTGGCAAGCTATATATGGAATTTAGTAGTACCATCTTCTCGTTAAGGGCCACTTTGGGGAGAATAGCAGCTCTTGGTGGTGGTCAAATACTTTCTTTTTTGGGTCAGTATTGCACTTGTTTCTACTAGGGCGTCATACTTTATTACTCTGCAAAATATGTATATTCAGCATTATGTCTCCTTTCTGTACAGCTAATTTTGCTCGTACAACTACTCACACTGAGAGTTATCTCATACAATGCATTGCAGGCGTTCAAGGTCACAATCCTGCCCTTTTTGCCGCGATAGCCTTAAAAGGGTTAACTCCAGTGATCTGTGGGTATACATGGACAACAAAGACATCGTGGACATGTCAATGATAACAAGGGAGAATCTGAGGCGGCTATTCATGTTTATAGATAAGCTACCCTTGATCGTGCCAGATAATGTTTTTGATCACTATGATACTCATATAAGGTAGATGATCAATGCTTCCATTGGGGGATTGAATCATACTAAAGATAAAGTAATTGGTCTCGCTAGATTTAGAAATGCAGGTGGATTACTTTATCACCTTTCCTGATTTAGAAGAACCCGACCGAGTCATTGTGGTGCAGGGGTTGAAGCTAAGTTAGATAAGATTAGCCAAAAAAAAATGGAGCTTTTTAATTGCATCTCCTAATTTGTACATGCCTGTACAGTTCCAGTTTTACTTCTTGAAAACACAATTGTTGTTTGTTTTCTGATCTTCAAGTATGCCATGAATACCAGCATTTGAGCTTTCTCAAGTGCAGAGTTGTATGGTTGCTATTTATAAGAATGTATAATATATGATGTATTTAGTTTCCAATCTGTAATTTTCCCTTTTTCTGCAAAGCATTTGAAGTAAGATAGTGCTGTTAAATTTTTACTTAGGATAAGAAATGGTTCAGAAAATGAAAATGTTCGCAAAGGATTTTCATTAGGAGAGTTTAATATATGAAGAAGTCCAAAGAAGTTCAACATGCATAAACAATGTAATATCATTGTTCATTGTAATAAACAAAAATGATACCACTCAAAAACATAAAAGTTGCAAAACTCACAATCTTAATTATACATAAAATGGTCTCATCTGTTTCTGATTAACAAAGCTCATTCTTAAGCAATTGGAGAAGCTACATAGCATATTTTTCCATAAAGGATAACTTCATTCACTTCAACTTCTGCAGACTTCAATAACATAATAAGCCAAAAAGAGAGGTTTCAAGATTTCATAGTTTTACAAAGGGATCAAACCAATTGTCTTCCAAAACTCAAACATTCTTGTAGGCAGAATGTGGTTCAATATGAACTGGTTCACCAATAACATATGGATACAGAGGATTTGGAGGCAGTTGCGGAGGGCGAAGAAGTGGAGCTGATGGTTCTGCATATTCACCTTCATACTCATGACTATTTTCCTTAACTTGCCCAAGAGTTCTTAGAATTGTAGCCAATAAGATACAACATCCCTGCTTATTATGCATTAAGAATCATGTAACTAATTTGAGCCAAGTAAAACATAGTGAAGTTCTTGGAGGTGGGGTTGCTTTTATTTCTTACCTGTGTTAGAACACAAAGCAGGGTAATCCATTGGCAGACATCGCTATTCGAGTCCACAAAATCCTTGAAATCATCAAACCTTCCTGATGGATCTTCAGGCAAATCCTGATTCAGGTAAAACACAGTGAGAACATTGGAGAGAAGCAATTGTCCAAGCTTTGGCAGGACAGAGAGTTATCCGGTACATGTGTTGGTGGTATTGTTATATAGTCTGTAACATATTAGAGGTTTTAAATTGAACAAAAACATCTGTTCGTGAAAGAACATGAAGCAATATCTCTTTAAGAAAAGTCTATTCTTTCGCGCCTCAAAGTCATTTCTTCTTCAATTATATTTTTCCCATTTTTACAACACAAGGTTGTTTTGTTGATGTCTTGATCAATAGAATACAGAGAGATAACTTTGAATATAACAATATGATAAAAGATAACTTAGATGTAAGATGCATACCTTCTCCCAATCAGAGTTCAAGAAAACATCAGCTGTAATTGCAATCTCTGCTAAAAGAAGCACAAATATGAAGAACATATACTATAAGTATAGTTAAGGTCCATTTTTGTTTCTCTCAATGCAGTTTCATTTAGGACCAAAAATAAATTTACTCAAAGACTATTTTATATATGAGAAATATAAAGAAAAAAGGATACAAATGAGAGGCAATAGGAATTGGCAGTGCTTGCTGCAACATGACCAAGGAAAGTGATTGCACACAAAGCAGTGCCAACACCAAGAAATGCATGGATAAACCTGTCATTGTTTCGCCACTGTGAGTGTTAGCTTCGTTGGAAAATTATACTGTATTTGTAAAATAAAAAAGAAAGTTAGATAACCGAACTCACCAAGGAAATTGAGCATAATCAGGGGATGAGGGTGAGTTGGCAGCATCGCGCTGCCAAACTCTGATCATCCATACACCATAGATGAGCATTGCAATGCCCATAAATCCTATTGTTATGTTTGTGATCTTGAGGGATAATCGCAGGTAACTCTTTACAAGTTTTACCATCTTGAATTTTAAACAGGAGCTGTTTCATTCACTTAGGAGGGGAAATAGAAGAGCACTTGCTAGGTAAATTGTTGTTATGTTTTTAAGGGTGCTTGGAAGAGTTCATTAGAAAGCATATTGATGTGATTTATAACTGTTTAGATTGTTGATTTTTTTAAAAGAAATAATAGTGATGGTGACATGCCTAGATATGCAAAAATTTCCCCAGATAGGCTCAGAAGAAATTTCCAAGAAAGAGCTTATTTTTGGAGGACCTACTGAATTATGAGTTGCTTGATTTGCTTATATAAACCCAAAATGGATCTTTGTCCAAAGATGTGGTCAAGGATAAGAACAATCTAATTTAAATTTTTCATGATAACAACATCCCAAGATTTTAAAGTAGAGATGGGGATGTATAATTGACAAAATGATTCTATGTAGATATTATGTTTATATCCACAACTAGTTGGAAAAGATAAAAGATCATAGTCATAGCAATACATAATATTATGTTTGTGTAAACCCAAACAGATTGACAAGGCTCTTTTAGGCTATCAATAGTTTTGACGATGATTTGTAGTCCCATTATTAGTACAACATCACAAGGTGTCGAAAGAAGGAAATCGAAGCACAATGAAATACAATACACCCACAACAAAATTCATGTACAAGTTAAGTTGGGAATAAATATATAGATGGACATAACTGATGAAACCCTTCATTTAAATGAAGACAGTATGCAAAGAAGAGTTATTGCTTTTGACGACGAAGAAATTCCTTCATCTCGGCTAAAATATCAGCTTTAACAACGAGACGCATGCGCTTAGAGTCCTCCCACAGTAATCCTCCATATTCTCTGGCAAAATCACAGGCAGCCTCAAAGACATCCTAAAAGTAAGCAACCACAATCATGTTACGCAAACAAACATATTAAAAAGCGAAGTTTAGGTTGCAATGCAAATAACATGGTGCTTGATACCCACTTTAGAAGGGAATTCATCGTAGAAGTGGGCTGGCGTCATCTCAACCCGATTCAGATCAGATTCCCACAATCTAATCTGTGGCATGAGAAAGTGGCAGTTGAATAAGTTAGTTGGACAAGAACTTATTTTCCAATAAATCTTTTCATAAGTTATATCTCTGTCAATGGATTGTTTGAATAGACTTTGGTCCGCCATAATTTTGGCAACGTGTGCCTAGTCAAGAACAAATTCTACAGGAGTGTCAATTAAATGTGGTGCAGTTAGAGTAATATTTGGTTTCTAAAGCTATCTTTCAGTTTCAACGCTATGAGAAATAGTGAAGGAACCTGATCAGTAACATTCTCCGGCACAGATGGTATTCTCTCGGCAACCCTAGGATGTGCATTCTGCTGAAGGAAAGAAACTATCTGCAATCCATGCATTCAAATCACAACAGCAGTCAAAACTTAACTACAAGCAAAATAAATTGTAGAGTAGCTGCTCATTTGTGTTGTATAATTACATCCGTACAGAATACTTCATAGTATCACTTGAAACATTTTTGACTGACGAATCACCATATGACAGATTGTTCCTTTTTGGGGGGACCATGACATCTAAGTCAATGTATTTTGACAACTAAGGATAGGATAACTGGAACTCAAATATAACCAGTCCAGACAACTCAAGCAACAGTTTCCATTATGTCATATTTAACTCTTTCTACTTCATACAAAATATTTAAGTGCGGTACTGCAGTAAGAACTTTGGCACCAGAAGCACAATAGGCTCACTAATTCCATTAATGCATTCAAGGGTGTGCTAATTTTGAAAGGTGTGTAACTACTATTAAACATGATAAGTAGATTAAAGGACCAGAAACAAAACTATAGAAGGACCTTTTCTGAGAGGAGTGCAATTAATCAACATCTATCAATTAGACCACAATAAGTAGCTGATGAAGAATTACTAAGAACTTCCAACAAAAATGTCCCACATCATCAATCTTTGTCAACGTTTTGCTTTTATACAAATATAAGCATTCCACACATCATCAAAAAAAAAATCTTCAACAAATATAGCAAGCACTCCATATACAGTTGCTTTATTAGATAGTTTTTTAGTTAGTTGTCTCTGATACAAGACAATGCTGGTCAATAAATAAATAGCAGCTGAAACTTGCCTGCTCAGAAGTAATGCCGTTTTGAAAAGCTTTATATAAACTCTCTTTATTAATAGCACCAACAATGAGATTTGGAAGCTGGTATTCCACCCTGTATTTGCAGCTAAAATTTGTTACTTAGAAATCTAACCACAAAAGTTGATGAAAGAAATCTACTACTAGAAAATATACACTCAACAGCCAAACACAGAGTATTAGGCATAACCCATGAATAATTGGACAAGTTCTTATCTCAACTCGCAAATGATACAAGTAATGCATTTCTTGGCAAGCACCAGACTAGTGTCAGATTTGATGGTATTAATTCCAACAAAAAGTAGCAACAGAGTCCAGGTAATGCTATCAAGAGGAGAGTTAGCACCTGTTCTTTCCATATGATCTCTTTTCTCAACCAAACTACAGAAAAAAACACAAGCAGCAGCAGCAAATCGTTTGGTACCTTGCAAAAAGGCGTAGGATCTCACAGTGCAATTTTGATGTTGAATATGCATACAGTCTGAAGTTTGTTTCAATAACGATAAAACCCTGATGAGTGTGGGTGGGAAGGCAAAGATGCATTTGCAGTCAGTAAGGTATCATTGAACTCGTTTCAAACTAAGCTATCTTTATTCTTACGGTTTTCTTATAAAGCAAGTGTATACAGAAATTTAGAATTTTATGCTTCCTGTCATCCAGATTTTTTTATTTATTTTTTTTCATTATCAAAAAAAATCTGGATGACAGGAAGCATAAAATTCAAAAATTTCTGTACACACTTGCTTTATAAGAAAACTGTAAGAACAAAGATAGAAAACAAATAAATAAATTGGATTTCTGTGTAACTAGACCCAACTACTCTAGGGAACACTTGCGAGTGCAGCATACCTGTTTCCTAGTAGTTGTATCCGCTAAGCTAATTGACAGGTTGGTCGCCAGTTTGGTCGGAATAAACCAACTCTCTTTCCTTCCCTAAACAGCATCAAATGGGTAATTAAGAACATAATAAAAAAGACAAATCTTTTCACTCTCGTGAGCTCATTGATGGGGCAACAAGGAGTATTCACCTGCTGCAGCTTGACCAATCCCAAATCTGAAAGGTCCTTAATTATACTTCTCTGGAGATCAGTTATTGTGTTTGTATTGTATGCCTATAT